GGATTGATGAGTTCATATTTTGTCATCAGATTCCGTATCCGGGACCCAATAATACTATCCTAGAGATCTGGTCCAAGTTGGGGTCCAGAGTTGTGTTCTAGTCTGCTGCGATGATAACCAGTTGCGGATTAGGGATAAAATGTTTGATGTTCTCAAAGAAAATCAGTCGTCCGGGTTCTGCGTTGGGTGCGTACAGGTTGAGGATTCTCAGCTCTTGGTCTTGTCATCTTATGTCTAACCATGACCATCTACCCTCCTCGTTGTCTCCCTCGCTGTGGGACGTCCTTGGTATGAGAATGCAGTACGTTCCAGGATCTGTTTCGCTTCATGAAGCAGGGTGCTGTTGTCTCCATGTCCCACAACAGATTGTCTCCATGTTTCCGCAGTCAGGATCCTGAATGTCTCCATGTCCCACAACAGATCCTCGCGCTTCTTCTCTTCTCTAATTGCACGTGGGTCGACAACTGGGTCCTTGTGAATTTTCCCTGGTATTCTCATTACCCTTTTGGCTCCCACAGTGTGCCATCTGCTGTCTAAAGGGAACATGTCGAGTTGCTTTGTTGTTGTGTTGGAGTCGTTGTACGTCCATATCCATTTCAGATCCTCGATGGTGTCATCGAAGACCCACTCATCGTAGTCTTGGTCGTTGATGAATCAGATGCCCTTTGCTTCTTGCACTTCCACCATCATGCTCTGTTTCATCTTTTTTTCTTTCGAATGTTCAGGGGACCGTGGACAGGATGGGTCAGTGCCCAGGTGACCTCTTTCACTACACCTGAAACAGATGGCGGCGTCGTTTGTTGAAATTGTGACTATGGACGCTTCTTCACCAATGCAGAATTCCCATTCTTCCGAGAATTCGGAGTTCGTCTCAGAGTTCGCTTCCAAAACTGCAGTGATGGCGTCGCAATGAGGGGCCAGGAATTCTGGCGTTGGGAGGGCCCATTTCAGCACTTTGTTGGTACTCGACCTCCAATCGGTCTTTGATCAGTGAATGACCTCTGATCGCAATGTTATCAAACTGGACCCAAAATAGGTCCCTCATGAGTCGCTGTTTCTGTGCTGCTGCCGGCAAAATTGTGGCTTTCTGAGCCGTTCCGAGTTTCCACGGGGAAAGGGTGCAAACTGAGTCACTGCAGTTCAGCGTGGTGTGCTTGATTATCAGGTTGGATGCCCGATTGGGACCTTTGAAAACCACCATCATCATGTTCTTTCTCAGTACTAAAATTGAGAATTTGTCTACGCTGGTCTTGATGTTTTCATGACCCTGGACTGTCTTTGTGAGCCATTTCCTCGTCACAATTGCTGGGAGGCGGGCGCTTGTGTTAGAGAAGGTGAACACCAGGCCATGTTTGTCGTACAGTG